GCTACTTTAGGAGGACCCCCCACCCTGTAATAGTGATATAATAGGAATATAAGAGGACCCTAATATAATCCTTATTATCCATGATAGTCACTATTACTGGGTGGGGGGTCCACCTAAAGGCTACCTTTGGGGAAGCATGGCAGCAGCCTATGCGTCTGGGCTGCACATGTTTAGGTTTCAGGGGTTTAGCGGTCTCCCACAATTAGGGGTACCATTTTGGGGGTCCCAATAATAAGGACTATAGTATATTGGGGTCTATATTGGGGACCCCTAGTTTTGGGAAACTACCGTTTAAAGCTTTACGGTCTAGGTTTTAGGGGTTAGGAGGTTTAGGGGTTTAGGGCTTTCGGGTTTAGGGTTTTTGGACTTGGAGTAGGGTTTAGGGGTCTAGGGTTTGCTGTATTTGAGAGTTATCGCAGGCTAGAATAGATTGGTAAAGTTCCCGACCTGAACAGCGAGGTGTCTATAGTAATTAGCTGGCTGAGGGTTTAGTGCAATGCTCCATGCTCCCAACCCCCAAACCCCAAACCACACCCCCACCGAGGAAAGCAAGAAGGCGATAGAAGGTGAACGGTTCATATTTTCCCGTATTGTGGCATACGGGCACCTATTCATAAATACTTTTGGGGGCCTTCAAAAGTAACACCCATTAGAGCAAGGGCAAGGGCCTTGAGCACATCGAGCGATGCATAGAAGATGGAATAACCCCGTCCCCTAATTAATAATATAGCCCACGCATCCCGTAATAATATCCCCACAATAAGATACCACCGTACATATATATATATATGTGAATATATTCGGGTGATTATTCATAATTGGGGGGGGCTTACTATTAGGGGAGGGGCGGGAGGGGAATACAAATGGCTCATTGTCGGATACATTTTCACTCCTGTTGAGTATACCAAAACCCTATACAGAAAACACAACTTTCATTTTCTGCCTCACTGCTGAGTACTTTTTGCACCCATACAGAAACCCTAGTGAGAACAAACTTGAGTCAAACTGTGGGGAACCGAAGGGGGCAGTAAGGCGCTTGGTAGGCGAACCCATGATATTCTGGGCCGAGGTAGTTGTAGCAGAGAACCAGGGAATACATGATTGTAAGACCTAGTACCGCCAAATGCGATTTCATTATCTAAATAGTGACTTAGCTCAAGTTGCTGCCCTTTGCGCCCGACGTCAAGGCGAGATCTCAACATGCCTCCAATCTTCAACAAATCGGCGGCAGCAACAACGTCAACCTACCATGATGTCTTGAGCAATGCCGGATTGAGATAGCAACGACTTATTCATCAAAACCAAGTGTGGCATAATCATGAGCATTCTCTCCGAATCTCTTCCCCCGAAGCATTAACATTCCTGTTCAATTGCATGCATTCGGTCAACTTCCGGCTTCAGTTGTTTCAATTCAGTTGCCTTGGGATGTCAGGTATTGCAGCTGTTGCACCCTGAGTGCGATTCCAACCATTATCACACAATTTCAGCGACATTGGTTGATCACTAGTTGCCGAGTAGACGCGGGAGCTTCTAAACTGCAACTCCTTAATATACCCCCAAAGTCACCCGTGAAAGCGTCGCTACAGCCCATTCCCGCCTTCCAGCTAAGCATGGCCTTAGTGCTTTCCATTTTCTCCGTAGTGAATGGAGGGAATACTTCCCACCAAGGAGAAGGGAGACCGTACCTTCTGCGGCCTCAAGTTGCCGGACGGGCCTGGATCCCGAGGACAATGATTATTCTCCACGTTCACTGTGGGGTTCGAATTGCTTGATGTGCTGTCGCCCGCCGTCCCTGTGCGCTGTTCCATCGCGCGCACATTTTGGATGCGCCCTATACGTTAATAATCGCGCTCTCGCTTGGAGCAGCCTAAAAGAATCGTCATTTTATCACGTTGCAATGATCCAAAAGTAGCCCATTCTCCCTTTTAAGTAGTCTTGCTATAGGGGTCTGTAGCCGAACTGGTCGCGCCCCAATTTTCGAAAATGGCGCTCCCGTGCGGGAGATCCTCAACATTCCAGATTTTGCTTACTCGAAAATCGCGCTCCCGTTCGAGACAGTCGGATGTTTTTGCGTTTTTTTCATCTTTATATCTTCAAAAATCCGCTCCCGTGCGGAGCATCCTCAAAATTTCTTTGATTTATCTTCATCAATAAATTCACGGGCAAAATCTGGTGTGCTCTGCGCAGCTGTCCATTCCGAAAAAGCAAAGCGCACAGATCACACCAGATTTTGCCCATGTACTCTTCTCAAATTCACCAGACAAAATCTGGTGTGATCTGCGCGGCTGTCTTTTCTGAAAAAGTAAGGCGCGCAGATCACACCAGATTTTGCCCATCCATTCCTTCCCAAATTCACTGGACAGGATCTGGTGTAATCTGGGCGGCTGTCTTTTCTGAAAAAGCATTGCGCGCAGATCATACCAGATTTTGCCCATCCATTCTTGCCAAATGCACCAGACCAAATCTGGTGTGATCTGCGCGGCTGTCTTTTCTGAAAAAGCAAGGCGCAGATCACTCCAGATTTTGCCCATCCATTCTTCCCAAATTCACTGCACCAAATCTGGTGTGATCTGCGCGGCTGTCCTTTCCGGAAAAAGCAAGGCGCGCATATCAGATTTTTCAGAGAATGAAGTCCCTAAATTTCAAATCGCAAGCAGTGTCCCCCTAAGATTTTTTCAGAGAATCAAGTCCCCAAATCTCAAGTTGCAAGCAGTGTCCCTTAAGATTTTTCAGAGAATCAAGTCCCCAAGTCTCAAATTCCAAGGGGTGCCCGCCTAAGATCTTTCAGGGAATCAAGTCCCAAAATCTCAAATCGCAAGGGGTGTCCCCCTAGGATTGTTTCAGAGAATCAAGTCCCCATATCTCAAATCGCAAGGGGTGTCCCCCTAAGATTCTTTCAGAGAATCTTGTGCTGTCCGGGCGGGCAGGAGTGAATACAGAGACGACATGAGTCAAAACCAGGGACTGCTTGAGCACGTGTCCTTCATCGAGGCATCCTTATAGTGACGATCCTATTGCTTGGGTATCCCCTGAAAACTCCCAGATGTTAGGTGGACCTCCCACGCAGTAAGGATCATAGTAGGGACTTTTTATATTCCCATTATACCATTATTACAGGGTGGGGAGGCCTCCTAACCCGTATGATAGGAATTTCCTATCCATCGTCAGGTCCTCTGCCTTGTAGCTAGGCGCCTTATCGTCCAGATCTCAAGGGAGGCACCCTTCCCTCAGCCATTTAGATTGCCCATTTTGTGCATTTATTGCTCTGTGCATGATGCATGCCAGTCCGGGCAATCTGTCGTCCAGTGCAGAAATAGAAAGCGTTGCTTAGTTCAGAAATTTTCAACGATCTTGGGGCATGTGCAAGCATTGAAGTCTTTTTGGAAACGCTACGTTATGTGCAGTCCCAGCAGAATCACTATAAGATCTTCAGCGTGACCATTGTAAAGCCCTGCAAAGCCAACATGGCCACCTCAACAACTTCCAATAACAATCCCACCTTCATCCTTCTGGAGCTCCAGCTCCCAATACATGGAATATTTTACCCTAAGCCTAATAAACCATACACCCCAAATCTTAAACCGCAAGATGTAGGCCCCAGCATCAGGCTGATTCGCTTCCAGAAGCTTGACAAGCCAATCTTCACGCCTACCACGAAGGCAGAAGTGGGCGGGGCCCTTGGCGATCAGGGCTTGAGGGCTTCGGGCGGTTTAGGGCTGAGGATTGGGGTCTAGGTAGGGTGCAGTAGTTTGATGGCTATCTATCCTCAGTATGAGAGGTTAGGGTCGTGTGCCGTCAAACCTATACCCTTGCAGAACTACACGGTTCCCGCAAGCTACGCTCCTTCAACCTTTTTTGTCAAAAACCTAAAAAATCTGCATACCAACAAACCCAAAAGCTCATGCACAAGCCACACCCCTAAACACCCCATAATACCTTCTATATCATTCTATATAACCCACAAAGGGGGGATACCTCCCTTTAATTTTCGGCCTGCTAAACCCTGCAAACCTGGAGGGAAGCTTGGAGCCTGCTTTGGGTAATTGGATCAAGGTAATTGGGGTTTAGGGTTAAGGGTTAAGGGTTATGTAAGCCCCCTGAATGACACTGTATCCCCACTGGGAAATTTAGATTTCGATGTTCCGTTTGATTCTCCATCATCCGCCCAAACCTTACATAATCCCAACAGAATCCCTATACCATCCCTACAATTCCCCTGTTCAACCTCATAACCAAAAACCCTAAACCCTAAACCCTAATCCCTAAACCCTAAAAACCCTAAACCATTTCCAAGTATGGCCCAGGCCACGATGAGAACATGACCATGGAGGACATGGAGAAGCTCCTGGGTCCTTGCCTCAGCACACGGCTTCTTGCCATAGTGATAACCGTACTAATAGTAGAAGTAGTAATAATAGTAAGAATAGTAATAATAGCAGTAATTGTAATCATAGTGATACTAGTAAGAATAGTAAGAATAGTAATAATAGTAATGTCATAATAGTAATACTAGTGATACTAGTTGTATTAGTAATACCCGTAGTATTAGTAATACAAATAATCGTCAGAATAGTAAGCATACGTGACATAGTTTCCTGAGCTGCAAACCAGCTTCCGCCAAGATGGCTGCTGTTGTTCTTTTCCTTCGCAAATAGCCTTCACTTGGGACCAGCTCTTGTGACTGGGTGATTATGTATGTATGTAGGCAGACAGGTATGTATGTATGTATGTATGTATGTATGTATGTATGTATGTATACACCTGTACAATGCCGCTTAATTAGATAGAGTATGAGGTCTATGAGGAGGATCTTACTATGATGCTCGGCAGTTGAATGTGCTATCTAGCTAAGGGGACTATATAACCCTAGGTTGGAAACTCTAATCCCCACACTGCAAATCCTCAATCCCTAACACGGCCCTCCATCCGCGCTTGCACCCTAAACCCTAAATTCTAAACTCTAAAACACGCAGCTCCTAGTCCTCAGCAACAGGTTGCCAGCAGTTTGAAATGGGGCTGATGAAAACAACCTGCCCCCAAATCCTAAACCCACTAAATCCCCTAAACTCCCTAACCCCCCTTATCCCCTCAACTCCCTAAACCCTTGAGAAGTCTAGACTGAAGGCAAAGAGCTGGCTCAGAAGGCTATGGAAGCCGCCATGAAGCTCTTCCAGCGAGGTGGGGGAATGGTCCAGCGGAGTGGTGATTTGGGTTCAGGGTTTAGGGTGTAGGGGTGTAGGGGTTTAGGGATTAGGCTTTACGGTGTAGGGGCATATAGGGTTAGGGTGTTCTGAAACCGGGACCCCAGGGGTTATGAGTTCATGGCCATCAGGGTCTTGGATAATAGGAGTTTTTGGGGTTAGGCCAAAGGGAGAGGTGGGGATGTCTTTTGACATGTAAGGGATCAGTTGGGATGTTTGAAAAGCGTAGGGATACATGGGGTTTGCGGCAAAGTCATTACATAGCTCTTATCAAGGAGTCCAGATGCCGGCCATTTTTCTGGAGCACCCCCTCCCCCTAATCAGGCGGCCAACCCATAAATTTACATTTGTACGAGCCTTGAATGGCTTTTCATGGGGCGTACCCGCCCAGTACCTACCATCTGGGGTTCCCCTTGACCAGCTGTATCTTGGGGTTTCCATTTTCTTTTCCAGTATCCCTATCTAACCCCTATAACCCCAAACAGTAGTTACCATTTTCTTTCCATTATCCCTATATAACCCTTATGACCGTAAACAGTAGTTTCCATTTCATTTTCCATTATCCCCAAACCCTAGGTAGTTTCCATTTTCTTTTCAATGAGCCGCTAAACCCTAAACCCTAGAGCTTGCTAGCTTCAATCCTCCCATGAGTTTCAATCTCATTTCGTTAGAAGCCAAGCCTTCAAGCTTCTGGACCTCAAAGCTTAGATGCCTGGGCCCTAGCCCGAAGCCCGAAACGCTGGACCCTGGAGCTTGAGCTCAGGGTACCTTGAAACGGGGATATAGGGGTTACATAGGGGTTATTTAGGGGTTATATAGGGGATATATTGGGATAATGGAAAAGAGAATGGAAACTACAGCCCAACCGCCAAGCAACGAATCTCATTCGTCTCCGTTCTCAGGATCTGAGCTCATGCGGAAGAGGGGGCTGCTCCTTCTCGTCCCTGATGGCACGCTTGAGATTGGTGCAGTCAAGTGACTGGGGGGGTTCGATGTCAGTACTTAGGGAATATGGGAATATAATCCTTATACAAAAAATTCCCCAAGTCCATACGAGCAGCCAGTAAAGCTAACATTTCTGCTGATGTGCCTGGGTCTCTACCCTGATCAACTCAGTCTCCATGCGGCTATTTCTGGAAGCCGGATTTCCAATCTGAAGCGAGGTGTAGGGTTTAGGGGTTTAGGGTTGAGAGGTTTAGGGTTTAGGGTTTAGGGTTCGTGAAGCCCTTCTCATGTGACTTACTGGTTGTTAGTAGGGAATAAGGGAGTAAATGATATGGGATTACACAGGGATTAGATTCCCATGCTCCCTACTAAGAACCAGTAAGGTGATAGGATGTGCCTCAAGTAGACTCACAAGCTTCAGAACTGACAGGAGCATTCAACAGCTCGCCATGGACTGAGTGGTAAGCTTGGAAACAGCCTCGGTTCCGTCCGAAAATCTAACATTGCGCCACCTAAGACGATTGGTCCTGGTTGGAAAGTGAATTATAAGGGAGTCCATGTTGCTTTGGCAAATGCCCAAACCTTTTCAGATGCCAGGACACGAAATACGAGTTCGGCCTGGATGACAAGGGGGTGATCCACGTGATCGATGAGGTGACCCCCATCTTAAGCCGAAGTCCAACTTGCGACGGACAATTATCCTGAACATCTACTGCTCTGTATGCTTGGCATCTCATATAAGTCAAAGCACAGTGTTCCGAAGGAAGCCGAGCATGGGCAGCGCTGCCGCAGACAGGGGAATGTAGCTAAGAGGAGCTTCAAGTAGCAGCTGCAGCACCCTGCATGTGAGCTCCCCCAGCTTGGCGGTTGCCATGTCAGACAATGCAGGGCTTGAAAAGGGGACTTTTACGGTAAGACTTTGACGACGGTCCAGGCATCGGAGCCTTTAGCTCATGCTCATAAGCTGGGACCTTCCACCAGTTTCGACCTCACCCTGAACCCTGAGCCTTGAAACTAATTGTTCTTGTCATGTGCAGATGCCAAGATGCAACAGGGAGGTCCGAAAGGTAGATGTGTTTACAGGCCTTGCGGGCCCCTCACTGTGTTTCTTTGGCCGCCCTCTCTTGTGATGGATCAGTCCATCTTTATTCTCGTCGTAGGTCCTTCAAAACTTTTGCTTGCGGGAGATGTCGAAGATTCGGTTCCGCTGCCTCGCAGGTCAACACGCCGGATTCGTCGCGCATGTGCACCATCGAGGACCATGTCATAGAAAGGCTCTGTTGGACAAGAGCTTCGCATGCTTTTGCGCAGAAGGCTCTCTTGCTATCACAGGATGGTTGAAGTCTTGTAAGTTCACGGAAAAACAACCTGCAGGCTTCGGTTGACCCGAACTAGGTCGTGCTCATATATACTTGTGCTTTTCCATGGTTCGCACATAAGTGTCGTAAGGGCTCTCAGGAGAGTGAAGTTCCAACCTTCTGGCCATGAGGAGTATGACGCCAAGTACCCCAAGATAGCGGAAGAGATGAAGACCGGCAAGTGCGCCATAGCTCCAGTTTGAATTTAAATAGTATAGCAGGTCAAGGACGGGCCTCATATACGCTGGAGAGCGCAGTTTCAATTGTGGATCATAAAAGTGCCATTCCCGAAAGCGATCTTGCTCGTCCGGAACGCTTGAAGCGTAACGGATGTTTCGTTGGAGTCTTTACTGCAATCAGAGACGTGCGCCCAGTATATTATCCTTAGTTTGAAGCATGCGTGTTCATTTCGGAGATTTTGTCGGGGCCTGTGATGGGAAGCTGCATAGTTCAAGCATTCTATTTTGAGCAACTCTCTTCTTTTTGGGAGATTGCGCCGCACTTTATTAGGGCTGGCCTCGAGCCAGGTATGCCAACGTCACAGAGCTGATGAAGGCGAAGCCTGAGATGAAGATGATGCTCGCACGGTTTAGGGTTTAGGGTTCAGGGTGTTTAGGGTTTAGGGTTTACGGCAGTTTTCAGGCGTCCAGTGGAGGATCCAGTGGTTGCCCAGACAAGCTGAAGCTTCCATGCCATGGGGTTTCTGTCAAATGTTGTGTGTTGGGGCCTTTCCTGTCATGAGTCGCATATGGTTGCAATACAGGGGCCGGGCTTTAGTTCCTTTAGAGCCCCCCGATGTTCACCAGCTCATCCTGTGCACTTGGGGGCCCACTGCGCTGGTCACTCCTTTGCAAGACTTTCTTCTGTCAGGAGTAAGTCGGGGTTTGATGCGCAGGAGGTGGGCTCGTAGCAGCACTGCAACGACCGTGATTTGGAGGGCGTTCTAGCAGGCTGGACTTTGGGGATCAAGTCTATCAATATCCACTATGCGCCAGAATGAGTTGCACATTTGGAGGGGTTGGCAGCAGAAAGCAAGATCGGACCCTGTGCTTCTCCATATTTCCGGGTGAGACTCATGTCTTGCCCAGCTTGGCACACACTATGAAGTAATTAGCGAAGCATATTTAGTTGTGATGGCTACCGCTATGCTGTCCCAAGCCCTAAACCCTAAATCCCCACAGCCCAACTACAGCCTGACTACAACCTTGCTCTCAGCTCAGGAAAGAGTTCTCGAAGCAGTATGTTTCCGCCTCGGACAGCTTGAAATCTTAACTTGGTAGGCTGTCAAAATTGTGGTGCATTTTGGGGGTCCCATGATAACAGCCCTGGCCAGGCAACTCATGGGCGTAGGGATCCTAGCGGGTTCCGGATGCTGGCTTCTGTTCAATCGGGATTGAAAGATTCCAAGCATGAGCAAGGCTCCATGTGAGCCATTATCTAAACTCCTTACAGGGGGTTATATAGGGGATCATACGGGGGACTACTATGGGGGCTATAAAGGGGGAGACCATGGTCCATGTCATTGGATACTGAACAGCGATTCTTGCTTCGTCCTGCAGACACCAATATTGCTCTGGATATGGTTTCTATGCAATCGTGAGGCTCCATTTTCTTCTTGGCATGACAGAGTTAATGTAGAAACCTCGACAGTTACCAATATTGTTCCCTCATCACCCTGTAAAGGTACAAACTATCCGCCCAAGCCCTGCTCTAATGAAATAGGCCCCTGCACCATCCAGTGTCATGCCTTCTTGCAATGGAATTGATGTGTTGACTTGGGTTTTCGAGGCATTTGATAAAAGAGATACCCCAGGGTTGAATAGAGAGAATCGAATAAATCCGCAATGTAATTTCTGTGTGCTTGTCAAGCAGCATGCGGTGGATGGAGGACATCTTGCACCACTTGGGACCCCTGTGACCTGCCATGTATAGGGTGTGGGCCAGAGAAGGTGGTGCAAGGTTTCGTCCATGCGCAGCATCTTGTCCAAGGGGTGTAAGGGGTGTTGCAGGCTACCACTATGGCGTGGAACCAGCACTGTGATAACGCTTGTCGGCCAGCACAGGCTCCAGAGCCCAAATTCCAGAGAACGGCCCCCCCCTCTCAAGCTTATTGGGGGTTAGTAGGGAATAAGCGAAGACATTGTTGATTATATAAGATTTATGTCCCCTTATTCCCTACTCACCACCAGTAAGCACAGCACACACTTTCTGCCTCCAAAGAGGGACCACACTTCCTTCCAAACTCCTTCGGGTTTGAGGCTTAGGGTTTAGGATTGAGGGTAGAGCAAAAGGATTTAGCCGATTGTCAGGTTCGAGACGCGCTACTTGATCTTGGCTTCGACCCCACCAAGGCGCTCCTTTCCAGCTTGCGAATGGGGTTTTCTAACATCAGGGTCCTTCTGTGGCCGCACTTTCTTCACATCTCGCACCTCTCTGAAAGGGGTTTCTGTTGTACCTGCGCAGAGTTGCTCGAAAATGGTATGAGAGCATATCCCTCCAGCATCTAGCAGTACTTTCTGTCATAAGTTCTGTTATCCTCATTAGCATCGTGTTTAAGATCCGGACCAGCCACGGCAAGAATCCTCGCTGTACCCGCTGTGATCTTTAGTGAAGTCTACTTACTGGTTCTTACTAAGGAAGAAGGGAATATAGCGCTTATTTGAATTTTATAGATTATATTCCTTATTCCCTACTTACCCCAAACCCTATATCATATTACCTTACGCCCTACTAAGAGCCAGTAAGTCTATCAAGTCATCAGCTGCAGGACAAGGCTGCACCAAAGCTCAGCGACGACCAAGTAGTTGAGTGTGTGGGCCTCAGGACAGTCCTGACATGATTAATAGGGTTTAGGTTTTAGGGTTTTGAGAGTTTAGGGTTCAGGGTTTAGGGTGTTTTTTAGGGGTTGGGTACCCCAGTTTCGCACTTTTCCTTTCTTTTTTTTTAAAGCTGTGGGGGCTCCATACTGAAACTGAACACGTTGGAAAAAGGGCACCGTTATTTTTATGGGGTTACTGGGGAACCTAGTAAGGTTGTAACAAGAGCCATGAAGATTTAATCGCAGTAGAGGCAATTGTCTTACTACTAGCAAAACTGAACCCTAAACCCTAAACCCTACTCCCTAAACCGAGGCTCAGCTCCCCCATCAAAAGATCAAACGCGGTATTTTCCCCCGTGGACTTGAACATCTACGGTGTTGGTTATCATCTTCCCAACTGTCATGGGATGGTTTTGCAAAGGTGTAAGGGTTCTCAAAGTCTAAGCTCCGAATGGCGTTTGAGGCTCCCAGAAATCCTGGTTCCCGCTATGCCATGGAAAGCTGTGCAGCTTTGTAACCCAGACCCCTGATTAATAAACCCCCACCGCTTGACAGGGATTATAAAAAGGATCCTAATATTTAGGCCCTCAAAAGGAGGGGGCTTTTTAACCATGGGTCTACATTAAGCCCTAAACCCGAAACCCTAAACCCTATATAGTAGTTTCCTTTTTCTTTTCCATTATCCCCATATAACCCCTATATACGCCTATAATATGTATATAATATATATATATGTATTAATCATGGGTCTAGATTAGGGGCTTGTGAAGATATCATTACTTGTCCAGGCCTAGCTGTGCATGACCCAACCACAAGAGCCATTGTTGTAGGGTTTAGGGTTTAGGGTTATGGGGTTTAGGGTTATGGGGTTTAGGGTTATAGGGTTTAGGGTTTAGGGGCTTAGGGTTTAGGGCTTAGGGTTATAGGGTTTAGGGTTTACGGGTTTTAGGGTTGAGGGTTGCCCATGGAAACCATAATATACAAATTATAGGGGATGGTGGAAAAGAACATGGAAAGTACTGTATAGGGTGATATAGGGTTTTATATGGGTTATATTGGGGTTATAGTGGGATAATGGAAAAGAACATGGAGACTACTGAAAAGTATAATATGGTTGTATATGGGTTATATTGGGGTTATTGGGAGAATGGAAAAGGAAATGGAAACTACTATATTATAATAGGGTATGTATGGGGGTTATATGAGTAGTATTTTATTTGGGAATTTTATGGTACCCAGTATAGAGTAAGATTATATCCTTCTTTTGAGGTATAGTATTTTTATACAAGGAATATAATCTTACTGGGTTTAACCACAAAGAAACGCTAGTCATATGGGGGATCTTTGGGATAATGGAAAAGAAAATGGAAACCACTATATTATGATAGGGTATAAATTGGGATTATATGAGACCGTGCCCAAGCCTTCGTTCCATTCTCGCCTTCATTGTGCAGCCTACGAATGCTAGCTTCCAGGCGCATACCGGTACATCAAGATCTACGAGACGGTGACGGGGAACAAGCTGGAAGCCCAGCTGTTTGAACTGGATGCTGGATGCGAACACGATAGAGAATAGCAGGACAAGTTGGTCACCTTGCTGTTTGCAATGAGGCTTGATGCCAGTTTATAGTTAGTTGTCTAGCCAGTATGATGGCAGCAAATTGTCAGGTTCCAGTTCCCGCCAAAGATGGCGCCGGAAAAGAGGACCCAGGGTTGCAGACGGTTATGTAGGTCTTATATTGGGGTTATATCGGGAGACTGGAAAAGAAAACGGAAACTACTATAATAGAAGAGGGTGCATATATGTATATATATATGTATATATAGGGGTTATGTAGGGATAATGGCTAAAGTTCAACTTTCATTTCTATCTGGGGCTCCTGAGTTTGCTCCCAAAGCACGAGCCATGGTGTGACGTTGGGTTCAAAAGTGCAGTGACACGAAACCCTAAATAGTAGTATATAACCCCAATATTATAGTAGTTTCCATTTTATTTTCCATTATCCCAATAATGTAGCCCCAACATAACCCTAGTATTGCCCCAAAGGGTAACCCTAAATGTAAATGGGTCGGGTGGAGACTCGAGTCCGTCTGGTTAGAATAATTGCAATGAACGAGGGCCTGCAAGTGTGGCCATTTTTAAAGTCTGTCGGCTCATGTCAGTTGGATGTAAGTGAAAGGATTGCAGATGTGAGGCCTTCAATAAGGTTTAGGGTTTAGCGTAAGTGTTTATTCACGGGCAGTATGCGAACAAGGGCTTGATGCCTTCCTGTACTCACCCTAGAATCAGGGACTGCATAGGGACTTGGACATTAAGGGGGTATTAGGGGTGCAGACTATAGCTCATATGTATGTATACGTGTACATAGAGTTTGAGGACTTATATAGATGTAAATGGACAACCAGTGACGCCCAACAGCTCGACCTTGGAAGCAACGGGTAAAGCAGACATTAATGCAACAAGTAACATTGCTAGGATGCCAGAACAGTTTTCCAAGCTTGCCATTGAGGACCCTGCATGTTTCGAATCTCAAAGTCCAGCGTTCTGTCTAAGACCCGAGGCGCTAAACCTCAATCCCTAAACCCCCAAAAGGTACACCGAATTTGGGGAAACCCCGTTTGTACGCTCCTCACCCTCCAGCATCCCAACCCCCGACAAATCTGTTGCCAGAATAGTCACCCATCCCTAAACAACAGAGGCAACAGGATGTCCTCAACGCTTAAGATGCGCACAGCTTTCAAGCCTCGCAACATCCGGGCTCTCAGCCCAAAACTGGAAGCCCTAAGGAATCCGCGGTTTCCATCTCATGGGGTAACATGAGTGTTTCCCAAGATAGGGGGACCCCCAATATAAACCCAAATATATTATAAGCTTTATTATGGGGAACCCAAAAAAGGTACCCCTAATTTTAGGACACCTCCGTATTCCTTTTAACCCTAAACCCTGAACCCTGAGCCCTGAACCCTAGGCCCTAAACCCTAGACCATAACCCTGAACCCTAAACCCTAAACCAGGATCATCAGCAACTTGTCGCGAGCTGGCATGATCCGGGGTTGCCTTGCACTGCTGACTGTGGACTCTGATGCTGACAAGCCTTGGCCCCAGTGGGACTGGAAGAGGTCAGGTTTAGGGTTTATGCTTATATAGGGCCTAGGGTTTAGGGTAATCTGGGGTTTAGGGTTGAGGGTGGTACAGGGATGTACAGGGTTTAGGGTAGTATGGGGGTAATGGAACGTTGCTTCAATGCTGGAAAACCAAGTGGAAAAGACAATGGAAAATGCAATGGAAGCTGGCATTATATCAATATCACAGGAGAAGAATACTTGGAGGGTTTACTCTTAAGCGGGGCGGGAGGCGGGAATATAAGTACTATACAAGGAGATAATCTAGAGATAGCTAGAGAAATCCACTCCCACACGCTCTCTCCATGCTCTCTCAAGCTCCATTCTGCTTAGGGTGTAGGAGTCTGGGTGTGGTAAATCCTTCCGGGTTCAGGGTTCCAGCTTGAGGTTCAGAGTTTAAGGTGCATTTTGTGTGAGGTTCAGGGTCAGCATTTTGGGTCTATCGCTCAGGATTTAGTGCGAGGGTGTCTGTTGTGGTATGACGGCTAATGTAAGTGACGTGATCCATTCTATAGTGGCGTCTCTTAAGCGCTGTGCACAATTCCGTTCTGCAACCTCATGTGCGAGCATCACTCTGATTGAACCCTCTTTGAAGAAGATTTTGCATTGCTGCTGGCCCAAGTTTCACCAGAAGCACCTGCCTTGGGGTGCATTCTGGGATGCAAGGGTGTAGGGTTCATGTCTTAGGGACCCCTTTCTGAGACCCAGGGAAGGCGGTACTTCGGCCATTTACCCATCTTCCTCCATTTTCCGCTCCCTTAGAATCTGAGCCCTAAAACATTCCAAAGTCCTACATCAACATCCCAAAAAGGGCATCCCTACCCAAAAATTCCAGGCACGGCCGGCCCCCCAAAACCCTTCAAACTCCATAGATGGCCCCTTATGCATCCAGAAGGATGCGTCCTTAGAGTTCCTTTCATTGCATGCACCCAGGAAGCAGGCTGAAACTCTGCAGAAAGATCTCGAGTCCTTCAAGATCCCTTCGAGGCGGGGACGAATCTTTTTCGGGCACAGGGTTGCTGGAAAGCTTTCTTGGGCTAGGGTTTGAGCCAAGGTTGGAAATTTGATTCTGTTTGAGTTTAGGTCTTGGGGCTGACGATTCAGGAATGCGTGAGCTTTAAATCTAGGATTGCATGCCAAGAATGGTGAAGGTTATTAATGCTGTGAGATATCGCTTAAAACATATCTACACATACCTACTTGCGGGGCTCCGCACTGGATGTTGGGATCGGAGCTTTCTGTGTAGCGTTCTGTTGTTCTCTTCCATGTAATGTTGGATGTGCTTTTTGAAGCTATGCAATTACGTATTGTTCCGTGGTTTTTCCATGTCTTTCTGCGGTTTCCTACCATGATTGAATGGGCCTACAATTTTGCAAAGTTGAAGCTCTCAGCCTACCATGCCATAGCCTTGTCCCAAAAAGAAAGTCCCCTTGTTGGCTTCTTGTGGCAGGGTGGTCGCTCTGCCAAAGGAGGAGGTCGCGTTGGAGCAGATGGTGGCCGGGCACAAAGCATTTTCCTGGGCTTTGCGGCTGGGTACGAAAGACTTCGAAGTTGTAGTCTTCTTGGCTTGATGCGAAAGATTGTGGTGGCTACACTCAGAATTAGGGTTTATTTGACCCTTGATTCACCCCTAATAGAATCCTGATGTAGGTAGGACGAGACAGTGGAAAACTGATAGTGCTGAGCGTGCGGGGGACAACAAAGGTAGTTACAACAATAATTCATCACAACATGCGCTAGAGAGAAGCCGCCGTGCTCATGGAAAAAGCGCTGTCTGCCCAGGACTGGGTCTAATATACTTCTTGTGCCTACCCCATGCACCATCAGCATTTCTCCTCTGCATTTTTTCTGCAGGAATGCCCTACTAAACTAGCACCAACCGGCCTTTTCCCCAGCATGTTTGCAACTCTACATGTTATGTTGTCATAGTATATACTGCATGCAGTAGTGGCCTTTGCAGCCCTAAACCCTAAGCCCTAAGCGGACTTCTGAACACGTTTGCGGCAAGCAGCTTGCATTTTCCTAATTTCATCCAAGACAACTGGTGCCTTTGGCAGACGTAAAAGTCCTCTGGTTTCAAAAGAAACCCAAAATCCCACCCCCTTAAGCCCTATGGTCCCCCTAAAGTGGATAGAATACAGGGTATATGAGGGTCTTATTATGATATACCCAAAGACACATTCTATCTACTTAAGGGGGACTAAAAGCCCTAAACCGCCTACCAGGCAGAGTACAACAAGGCCACGGAGCCGCTCGTGTGGCCTGGCGGGAACTTGAGAGCAGTCGTATGGATAAGTATGCATGAGGAAACCCTATGGGGTGTGGGGTTTAGGGTATAGAGTTCTAAATGGTGTATAAATATCCTGAACCCTGTATAAGTATGCATAAGGAAACCCTATGGGGTGTAGGGCTTAGGGTATAGAGTTAAAAATGGGGTATAAATCTCCTGAACCCTACATACCCTATACAACGCACGCCTCATAAGTGCCCAGCTGCCATTTATCTTTTCATGTTTTTTCATTTGTTTCTCCATGAATGGGTATTATTCATACATATCTCTCCCTCTCTCTCGCTTCCATTTGATTTTCCATTCGTTCTTCATTAGGGTTTAGGGTCTACTATCGGATTTAGGGGTATCACTTTGTTTGAGTGTTGCTATGCTGATTTCTACAATCAGGGTCATGTGGCTTGCGAATCCTTCTGCGAAACACATGAGCTAACGTCTAAACTCCTTGAAGGGGGGTATATAGGGGATTATATAGGGGACTACTGTTGGGCTTATTAAGTGGGATACTAGGAGTTTAGGCAATGGTTCACATAAAGTCTGGCCCTCTTGGTGGGAAGCATGGAGCCTAAGACCTAAGAAGATTGGCAAATGGTGCTAGAAGACATCACTACCCTGAGGTGCAGGGCTAGATGGCTAGTCTCATTCTGCAAAGCATTCACTGTGATACAAGAACATAAAGGATGTGAAGAGGAATGCTTACTCAATAAAACCCTGGAGGCTAAGTAAGCATACCCCTTGTTCCCCATTCCCAGCTTCCAAGCAAGGCAGGAGAAGATTTGCCTTGCCCTAAGCCCTAAGCCCGGTTGTGGTTTGCTGCGTGCATGCTCCTAACCTTCAACTGCTGACGCCTCTGCCTAGATAGCCGAGCCGTAGTCTTCCCAGCAGTAGCAGGAGCAGGAGCCCCGCAAGGAAGAGGAGGAGTCGTCATAGCAGGAGGAGTAGCAGTAGGAGTAGAAGGAGTAGCAGTAGGAGTTGGAGGAGTAGCAGTGGGAAGGAGGAGTTGTAGTGGTACTTGCAATTGTAATAGCAACATGTCACATAGTCGGCGGCGTCGGCGTCGGTGTCGGCGTTTGTCGCCGAATTTTCAGTCCGCAAATCCGCTATCTCCCCAGACACTCAACCTCTGAACCCCCAATCTCCATGCCTCTTGATCGTAAGTTTTTCACGCTCAATTGCCAGAAATCCCACACCCAAAAACTCAGCTTAAATGGGGCTCTACTCCTAAGCCCGTGCCGGGAGATGTTTTGTGGCTCATAAGGCCACATACAGCAGAGGAGAAAAAAAGTATATATATATATATACATATAAATATATGGAGAGCCCAAAAGGGTACAGGTATCAGCTGAGACGTACCTCTTCTTCGTAGGAGTTCACGGCAAAAGACTCCTCTTGCAACTCTTGCATAACCCTACTTATCATGATCCATGATCATGTTGTAATCCCCAGAATTGCTATATAGAATGCACACTCGCCACCCCGATGAAAACCCTGGAAACAGGAGGCGGAAGATGGAAGACTGCTGAGCACTAAGCCCTGAACCTGAAGCCGTAGCACTAACCTTAAGCCCTAAACCCTAAACCCTCAAGCCCATGTAAACTTACCATTGCTTAGGGTTCTCAAATCTCCTTAATCTCAAAATCTCAAAGCTGAAAGGACCCCCCCCAAACCCTAAGTAATGGTAATAAGCTAATAATAAGCCGTGAACTCTAATCCCCAAACCCTAAGCCCAAAACCCAAA